AAATATACCAAGTATAATGTTTGTACAAAACATATAAATTAATCTAACTAAGTAAGTCATGTCCAATATGGTTTATATCTAAAAAATTTCAATTTTTTCTTTTTTAATTTTTTTTTAAAAATAATATGATTTAAATTGTCAACTCTAATCTATTAAGGTTAATTTGTATGGTTTACAAGTTATATGATTAGGGCCAAAAAAATCTTTTTATTTGAGTTAACTTTTTTTTTCCAACTCAATCTACATAACTCGATCTGTTTTTCCGGCTTTATTTCCTTCCATTAATGCTTCTTCTTCTTCTTCTTTTTGCTTTTATATATATATATATATTTTTTTTTTTTTTTTCGTTTTCTTCTTTGTTGTTGGGTAAAAGCAGTGCGAGAATGTGAAGCACTAGAAGACACAAAATCTCTGACCCGCGAATTATGAAATTTACAGAGCACTTCTTTGTTTTTTCTATTTTGTTCGAAGAATGGGAAAATGGTTATGCAATTTTTCTGGTTCTGAAGTAGTGCAGAAAAATAAAATGTATTTACAGCACAGACCGAATCACGATAACATTGAGCTGGCTAGCTTGACAAACCAATAGTAATTAAACTTCAATCAGGGCCACGATGCCTCAATCTGTGACACAAAATCAAGTATAGTTATTCAAACTGCACTTTCTGACAGAAGCGTTTATACCTTCATACACTTTCAATATCACTAAATAATTTCAATAATTGTATGGCAACCTGGTCCCACATATGACACATATGTCACTCTGGTCATTCTTCTCAATTTTTATTTTTTTTTATCAACTGAAAAATAAAAGTAAGCTCATGACTTTTAATTTTCTATTCTTACTTCAAATTTAAGTTATCTCCCTTTTATTTTTAAAACTTTTTACACTATCCCAACCAAAAAAAGATTTTAAATTTGAAATTCAAAGTTAAATCCATCAATACAAAAACTACTTAAAGTTGAATCAAAGGAGTTATCGGCCAGCCATTGAGTATAAATAATACCTGAGTTACAGAGTTCCATCACTGACCATTTCTGAAACACAAGTAGTGAAATTATGCCCATGTATACAAAAACGACTTGTACATGTTAATCTACTTCTCTAAAAAGACTCCCATGAGAAATTGTACAATCATCTCTTCTTAATCATGTAAGTATAGCCCCAACTACCCTTGAGATAGCAATCATCTTGAATATATGCAATGTTTAGATCAAAACCATAATGGAAAACTAACTCAAACAATCATCTTGCACAAGGGCATAGAACATCAGAAACAGAGTATGAAGATCAGGCAAAATACCAACAAAGTGGAAGAGGAAAGAAGTGGCTTGAAAATTCAACAACTAGGCGCTGAGCACACTGCACACACCGATATATAGGCACAAACCCAAATGAACGTTGGGCAGCCATTAGCTACAATTAAGATCGTTGATTTTAGAAAATAGTGATCCATTGATAAGTAGTTTCTAAACCTTGGGAGCAGTAAATTATGTCCGGTTAATGTATGATAAAATCTCACCGTTTCTAAATTTTAAAGAATTCAAATTCAAAACAGGAAAAAACGGGGCTTTATATATCTTTATACGATTTAAATTTTATATTTTGACAAAGATATATAATTCTATAAAAAGTATTAAGGGTGTGTTTGGATTTTAATTGGAAAAAATTGATTAAGAAAAAAATTGATTATTAGAATGTGATGGTGTTTGGATAAATTTTCAAAAATTGATTATGATATTGATTTTTCAAAATGGAACAAATTTTAGCTTATTCCAAATGGAGTTTTGGAAATCAAATGGAGTTTGGGAAAATTGGAGTGTTTGGATAAAAATTTTCAAAACCATGATTTTGAACCCAAAATTGATTCTAAAAAGGTATCCAAACAAGCCCTAAGCTGTTTTTAAATGCATTTGTCTTGCATTGGTCTATTGTTGCGCACATGAGCCCGCCTCTCATTCAAGCATAATTGCCAAGCAACGATATCTCCTTATTATTTATACATCTGGAGCTCCTCTCACTTAGATAATGTGGGACTTTATATTGACACACTGACACATAAATTACAACAAGCTCAATCCAGATACAGCTTAAATATATTAATTGTTTTTTTTTTCAAACTTTTAATTTAAATCATATTTAGCTTATTTTTTCCCATTATTTTGCAATTGAAGGGCCACATCCTGCGAACCTAAAGCCAACAATTGAAAAGAACTCAAAGCAAGCATGTGGCATGATGAGTAGAAAAAATTAACGGTCAAACCAAGTGTTCTAACTAACCTGAATCCACCTCCTTTAACATGAAGAAGTGCTCGTTGTTCTGGGAATTATTAAAGCAGAAATCTATTGGTAGGAACTAAATGATGTGGCAAAGTTAGAGAAATAAGAACTAAGGCCTTGTTTACAATGAAGGAATGAGAGATTGGGATTGGATCTTGGTGAAACCAAGATTTTATGTTTGGTGTGTGAGAATTTAAAAATTAATTTCAATCCCAATCCCAATCTTACCTAGGTGAGACTACTCAGTACTATTCCCCCTGACATTTGAAAATCAATTCTAGGATTGATCATTTTTAGATCAAATTGCATCTTCATTCCATCCCCTCCCTTGTTTAAGTCTTCTCTAGTCTTTGCCATCCCTTCTTCATCCTCCCTTGCCAATGGCGCTGTGCCACTTCCTCCCTTGCGGATGATGCTGTAATGGTCTATTTGGTTTCTCTTTTTATTTTTTGTTTTTAAAAATCATCATGGAATACAATTTTTAAACTTTTTTAAAATAAAACAAAAACGAATATCTATTTCACTGTTTTAATTGAAAAATAATTTAAAAATTTAAAAATTGAATCGTAATAACGATCACTAGTGATCAATGGTTGTGACTTGTAATTAGATTAGTTAAAGTAATTATGACCGTACTTTGAAATTTGAAATGAGAAAGGGTTGAAGACATGTTTATATTGTAATTTGTAAGTGACATTTTTTAGGCTTCATTTTATCTCTCACCTCTGTAAATTTCCTCTCTCACTGGAAAACATATTTAATATGCATGGCTGAGTTGGATGGATAATAGATTTGTTATCTTAAATATAAAATATTTGATCGATTCTTGCTCCTATTAGTGCTGTATCAGTAGTCCATCTAACTCTGCTCAGAAAGTTCTTCATCTCATCTGATTTCCCAGCCAACTGATGACTCAGATTCATCCGACCCCACTTCATTGAGTAAACACCAAAGATGCGGGACCCACACGAAGGCTTTCAAACCAATCATTCACATGTGCTTTCCAGATCAGGAGGAAATACAAGTGGCGGCGCAAGAGGGGTTCTCGGCCCCATGACCCGTCATCTTTTCTCATTCCTTTTTATTTTTCTGTTTAAACTTTATACTTTTTTATCTTGCCTTTTAATTTATTAAATCCTTGCACTTACGGATGAAATATGAAGACTCTCGACCCTGAACTAACTAATTCAATTCTGAATATGTTTGGATTTCAATTGGCAAAAGTTACTTATAGAAAAAGTTGGTTAACAAAACATGATGTTTGGATAATTATTTTGAAATTAATTTTGATAATTAAATATATTTGGATAATTTTTAAGAATTAATTATAAAGATGAGGAAATGGAAAATGTTCAGATGTTAAAAACTGATTGTCAAATGGAGGAAAAAAAAAGCTTCTCTAAAATAAAATTTCACAAACCAAATGGAGTTTTGCAAAATTGAGGTGTTTGGATAAGTTTTTACAAAATTATAATTTTGATCCCAAAATTAATTTCAAATAGAAATCCAAACAGGCCCTCAGAGTGTAACCTTATAAAAGAGAAATTGAACCAAAAGATTCAATAATTGTCATTCTCCCTATAAACTAGAGGGACAATATTTTTTTACTACTTAACAAATTATAATTGAAAGAAAAAAAGTTAAAAATAAAACAAAGCATTATTTTCATGCAACCTGTAAATTATTCAATTGAAAGAATAATTTTTTAAAATTTTTTTTGGCACTCTTTTTCTTGTTGAAAAATGTATTACACTTTTACCTTCTATAAAATTATGGAAAACTATATATCCTTTATAACATTGGTCAGAGTTTGTGAAAACGCAATTCATATCCCACAAAAGCTTGTGTTTAAATCCCAATATCATTATATGGATCTCATTAGTCATTGGTGAGCATAATTTGTGAATCTATCTATTAGACACTCTTTGAATCAGGAGTATGACTTGGCCTAATGAATCCCCAAAACCCAATAGATGAAGATAGTTTTCCTTTCAGTCATATTTTTAATGTTATTTCAACACTTTCATGTCTTATATCTGATCAGAAATATCTTATTCGTATCAAACATAGATTTTGACAATATTGATAGCCCACGCATACACACACATATAAAAGTATATAATGTTTTATAATTAAATTAAGGTGTGGGACCTAAACATAATTTTTCCTATAATTTAACGGTTTTATATGAAACTGGATCTCTCCTATTACTTTTAAGCCATATTATTATTTTCTTTCCCTATCTATATTTGATGATTTTCACTTTTTTTAACGAAAATTTAAATGTCCTCTTGTAATGCTGAGAGCAAGCCATTCTTGTTTAGTTTACAAAAGTATACTTCAAAAGCCAACATGGTTGTCGTCTGATTTATTCAAGACTAAGGTTGAATTGAATATAAACAAATAATAATATTCATAACCCCAAACTACGTAGCCGCAAATCAATGCATGCAACCAAGATCAAATTCATCAATGTGAATATCATTATCACAAGTTGGTGAAGACTTGTGAGATCGTAATCTTTTCAAATGAAACAGTTGAAGGCATTTAAGTGTGCCAACGCGATATTCATGATTAGCTAGGAAGATGACCAAATTTATGAAGGCTCAACCATTTCCAGGTTCAAGCTATTATATTCTTTTACAAGTCTAATAATAGTGTCTATATAATCCCCTCGTTCCTCTTCCTTTTCTCATCATCTTGGATATAGTTTATCAGCTATTATTTCAAGATATGGCTTCCAGGGTTCTTTTTCTTTTGTTTCTTGGTGCCCTTGCTTTCACCGGTATTGGTGCAAGAAGTCTCGGGACTAAAGAGAGTTCGTTTAGGGATGACAAGACATTCTTTCATGGTCATCCGAAATTTAGGGGAGGTACTGTTGGAGGAGGTGGTGGTGGTGGTTTCGGGGGTGGTGGAGGGTTTGGAAGAGGTGCTAGTGCTGGAAGCGGATTTGGAGGAGGTGCTGGTTCCGGAGGTGGAGCAGGCGGAGGAGGACTAGGAGGTGGTGGTGGTGGAGGGTTTGGCGGCGTCGGCGGTGTTGGAGGAGGTTCTGGGTTTGGAGGAGGAGCTGGATTCGGAAGTGGTGCTGGAACAGGTGGAGGAGCTGGAGGAGGTGGCGGTGGAGGGTTTGGGGGTGGTGGTGGAGGTGGGTTTGGTGGCGGAGCCGGAGCTGGTGGAGGGTATGGTGGCGGATCCGGAGCTGGTGGAGGGTATGGTGGTGGGTTGCCTTGAAAACCTAAAACCTTCAACACATACATAACTGCAAAAGCTAGCAATTTCCTTCTACTTTCACATTAAGAACATGCGTGCATGTCACTGTATTGATCCAACATCGTTTGGTTTTAGCTGTCTGATTTTCACTAATTTAATCTGTTTTGCAGAACTAAATAGTACTGCCAAAAGGGATATTATTTTCAAATAAATATATTTATTTTGTTTACTGTGTGAAGTTATGTTGTTAGGACATTGATCTCCCGTCATTATTGTAACAATCAATCATAATAAGATTAAATCCTCTCAATCTTCACTCCTTTTTACTGGTCTTGTAGCGCCACTACTGACATTAATGAAGCATTTTCTTTTTGCCAACTGTATCAATGTCATGGTGTGTTGTGACTATCACCCAAAAAAAGAAAAATGTTAACTGCCACATTGTGACGCTCATAAATGATTCTAATTAAGGTCCGAGTTGGCCAAAAAAAAGGATAAATTAAAAATAAAAAGCATGTACCACGCGGGAAGAAAAACAGAAGGACAATGAAAATACTTCATCCGCATCATTTTATAAGACATTTTTTAAGTGATTTTATATTTTACAATACTCTCTCCACCTTAAATTATAAAATATATTTGGGAGATATTTGACATTTAAAATATAAGACACTTTGATAAGATTAATATTTTATTAAATAAACTTATTTAAATATTACTTTTTCTCTCTCTTTTTAATAATTAAATGTATATTTAAAGTTATTCAATAAAGGGTATTTTTGGATGTTCATATTTTTTTTTAAAAAAAAAGAGTTGTTAAATGTGTTTAATGAGAGTTATTGGTACATATGTAAGATTTTATCTAAAAGTATCTTTAGAATTTGGGAAGGACAGAGTATAAAACATTTTTTTAAAAAAAAGGTTTCATTAACAATAATTATGTTGATACTACTTTAGTCTTATTTATAAGGTACTTTTAATATATTTCACCATAACTAAGAAAAATATTAAAACTCATTAATACCGTCTAGAAATTTAATAATTTTTTAACTTTATCCTTATTAAGTATGCAAATTTTAACAACATATTTTCTCTTTTCAATATTCAATGGAGGTCAAATGGGGGAATTCATGATGAAAATTTAATAAAGTAACTTATAAATAAGACCAAAAAAAACTTCTCTTTGCCCTAAAAATAGGACCAAAGAGAATATTACGTACCCTTCATTATTTCACTCTCTAACTAAATTTCTTTTCTTCTATCTTATTAATGAAGGGTATTTTTTAAAGTTTATAGAAAAATTAAAATTGTAAACTATATGTAATGAATTTTATTGGTACACATAATTTTACAAATTTTTTTTTATAAATTAGAATGAAGGGATTACAGAAGAGATAATCTTTATGCACTACTCTAAAGAACCATCTAATTAATTAAAAAATGAGAAGTAAAAAAATAATTAACTAATTTTATATCATAATAAAATTAAATCAAATTGACCTGTTGTTTAGATATTTAGCTTCTAGTTTTTACACATCACATGCTCCTTCTGTTTTTATATATAAGATGTTTTTAATTGAATCACACAAATTAATAAAAATTAGTTGTCTAATTAAAAATATAGTAACATTTCAATTTTATCCATAATTATTGTAAATAAAAAATTAATCTCTTCTTTCAAAGTAAATTTATAACATCCCAAAAATTTTAAGACTTAGATTTATTTTAAAAAAATAAAATAAAATATCTATAATTAAATTAAAATTTAGAATAATTTAATAGATGTCTAGAGTTTGAATTTTTCTGAGCAAAAATTTAGTTTTATTTGATTTTTAACTATAAAAAAATTACCAAAGTTGACCCGGGCTTTTGTGCTATAATAAAAAATTTTGGGCCTTTCTTATAATTTTCCCAAGGCATTAGATCAGCAATTTAAAGAGCAAAACAGACGCAGAAAATGCAGAAAAGGAAAAGGAAAAGAAAGGAAAAGTGAGAGAGAGAGAGAGAGAGAGAGAGAGGAAGAAGAAAGGAGAAAGAGAGGGAGTTAGGCTCGGATCCAGGAGACTTTGCGGCCGTTGCGAGTTCGGCTACGCGATAGGTAAACTCCCTACTTCAATCCTCTTCCCTTCCTCTTTGTTTTTCTCAATTTTTGAAAGATAAAATTTGTGGATTTTGATCCCAAAGGATTTATTCTTATAAGCTTTTGTTTCTTTGAATCCTAGGGAGGATGTTTTGAGTTTCTATATAGTGATCTAATATTTTGAGTGGATAATTGGATGAAAAGAGGTGTTTTGGGTACAAATTAAACCTGAGAGATTGGGTTTTGCTCCTCAATGGTTTAAGCCTATTGATTTAGTTATAATTTTGCTATTTGAGCCCAATAAAATATAAGTTAAGGTTTGGTTTTCATTATAAGAGCTAATAGTAAAAGTTAGTGACACCAAGTGAAGGTTTTTAATTGATTAAAAATTATATAAATTGGAAATTAGCCTAGTGATGGCTAATAAATGGTTTTGGTGGTTAAGTGATGCTATGTAAATGGTTGGTTTAATATATGGACCATTGGGATGGACTATGGCTCACAGACCCAAGTTGTGTGGTATGAGTTATAGTCTTCATTAATGCTATTTGACATGATAAGTGATGTGGATCACTTATATGTTGTAGGAATTGTTGGTGAAATTTGTTCAGAAGTTAAGGAATAAGCCGAGTCCTATTTTGTACAAGAGGAACCCTTTTGGTACCAAAGGGTTGCGGTAACAGGGGAATTTATATTTCTTATTATTTTATTTTAGCTATTTTTGAATAAATATTACTAGCTATCATGCATTACATGTTTTAAAAGATTAAATGTGCTTTATAAAGGGTTATGAGGTACTACTTTGATTATAGTGCAAATATATTTTCTAATTATTTAACAACAATGTTTTTATGGAAACGAAATTTATTGCATGTATTGTTATCATATAGAATAAAAGTTGCACTTAAGGAAGTGTAACTAAGTAAGGTACCTTAGATAGGCTAAGGAACCATTTAAGGGAGATTTATAAATGTTATACTACCTTAGAGTGTTGAAGTGGTTAATACTCGGGAAAGGTAGACACGAATAAAAGGCATGATCTCGGTGGGAGTTCACCAATGAGAAGGTGTGGACTTTTGATATTCTGTGGCACACTGTCAGTACTTAGTGTTGCTTTACATATTGTGGGCTCAGTGCACTAAAGTGGTTAGTGTATTGAGTGTTTGACACTTCTCAGTAGGAGAGGAAATCCGACATATGAAGTGTGAGGTTGAGTGCCTAGGCTAAGGTAGCCCTCACATGGAGAGTAAGTCGGGCTGGCTTTGGGAGGGAGTTAGCTTTGACTGCTCAGGATTCACGTCGAAGGAGCATAGGCGGTTTGATGGATTAAATCATGCCTTAGATTATGTTTTGTGCCTGTGGAGGTACAAGTAGGTATAAGATTTACCTGCGATTTAAAGAGTGCCAGGGGGCATTCTGTTGGTCATGAAAGGCCATACCGGCCTAGGTCATGCATTCATGCATTTTAAATGGCTAAATTATATACTATGTTGAATTTATTATTCGTTTATTCGATTATGGCTTACTTTGTAATAATCAATATAGATTTCTCTGTTACTGAGACTGTGGTTGTCTCACCTCTTTCTTTTCAATATTCTAGGTCTAGGTGAAGGAACCAGTGGAGGACGGGTGAAGGAGCAGAGCTAGGGGTTGTTTATAAATTGTAAAGAACTGCAACCCCTTTCTTTTGAATAAATCTATTGTAATGTATTTAGGATTAGGGTGCCAGTAGGATATGATTATGTATATGTGCATGATTATGTGTGGATTGTATGGCTTGTGTATGAATTTTTAATTGCTTGTAGACTTGTGGCTAGGAAACTTGACTATGGTATGTGGTTTTGATGGATTTATTTAGTAGATCAAGTTTTCACTATAAGCAAATATTTATTTTGATATATATATATATATATATATATGTGTGTGTGTGTGTGTGTGATTCCATAAGCAAATGCAAAGTGGTTGCATTGCAAATGGTGTGTTATGGACAAACATATACCTTAGATAGAGAGAGTGGGTGCATGGGCCCCACAGAGATCTCTGAGCCAAGTGAAAATATTGAGCGTGTGTATTCATATATGTATATGATATTTGGAATAATTTTTGGCCACTTTTGTGTGATTTGTGCATTTTGAGGGTTTAGGGTCTATTTTGGGAAATGGCACCTGAGTGGTCAAATTTTTTACCATTTAAATTTTTTATCAGGTATTTTTAGTCCTATTTGATATGTCCAAAGTGTTCCTACATGTTTTTGACCATTAGGATGAAATTTGAATAATTTTGAAAATGGTTCTGACCAAAAACCTGTACTTTTACATCCAGGTGTCCAAATCTTAATCTGACCGTTGGATTTCTCTAAAATTTGGATCACAAGTAAAACCTTTTATAAGCTTCGTGTAGGCTTTAAAATCACTTCGATCGGGTATCGAACGGAGAAATGACGCACTTTGGAATTTGGTCCAGAGGAGCTGTCATGACAGCAATATATGTTGATATTGCAACATGCACGAAATTTAATCTGTCCATTGGATCTTTCCAAAATTTGGTATTCTAATAATTCTATTTAAAAGTGACATGTGGGATTTAAAATTGCTCCAATCGGAGGTCAGATGATGAAATGGTGCACTCTGAAAGTTAGTTCGGAGGTGCTGTGTTGTCATGACAGCAAAAATAGCCAATCTTTTAACATGTCTAATTTTTAATCCGACCATTGAATCTTTTTGAAATTTAGTACACTTATAGTACCTTTTGAATGTGATGTATAAGCTTTAAAATCACTTCGATCAGAGGTCGAATGATAAAACGGCGCCTCCTGGAAGTTGGCCCAGGAGGGCTGTCATGACAGCATCTTTTTATTCTACTTTCATCTAGCTTGCTTCCGTGTGCTATAGGTAGAACCTATATTTTTTTTAAGGTTTTAAATGATTTATTTCTTAAGTTAATTAGAGGATCAACTCCTTAACCACACTTAGTTTATTTAAATTATGTAATTTTTAGATAACACTCAGGGCAAGTGTTATAAAATTAGTGATAGTATTTATTTTTTTTCTCTTTCCAATTTAATAAGAATATAATGGTCCATTCATTAAAAAATATGTTAACAACCTCTTATATTTAGGGACAAAAACAATTCTAGAAGACTTCTTATATATAGAAATGGAGAGAGTAGGTCTTAATGTTTTGTTGGTTTGTGTGGTTTAAAAAATTGAGGCCTATATTTATGGATAGAGAGATAAGGGTAAGACTTAGGTACCTAATCTTATATACTTAT